GCTGTTGCTGGTTAGCAATATTTAACAGAAAAATAAATATACACTATAAAATATGTTTTGAATTATAAATCCAAAGGAGAAGATTTCCCTTTATTTCTTTTCTTAAAACAAGTGTGTTTCAATGGATTAACTCAAGATTAACTTGCCCTCCTCCAGCGTATTTCCCAAAATGATACAATTACATGTTATAAGTACTTCTGAATGCATGTTTATGTACATAATTGCTTTTTTACGCTGGATATATACTAGTTATGGGTCTAAAAGGCCACATAGAGAGAAAAGACATCTCTAACAAGCAGAAGTATAAATCATTCACTTATTTGGCTGGAGTGCATTTGAATCTGTTTATGTGTGGATTGCATAGCTGATCCTTAAATGTTAAATATAAATGCTAAAGGTTCACAGAATTTCCATAATACTATATAAAATCTGTATTTCAAAACTAGCCTATATTCTGCTCTAATCATAAAAATAAGGAAGTTGGCCAAATACATTATTCAGAGCGTACTCCTGGCATGCAAGGGGGAGTATTCTGAATTCCTGAAAACTCCTTTTCCTAATTGTAACATAGACATGATTCTATAAAAAAAGTATGCATGTTATTAGAACTCTGTTGCTAAGATGAACTTATTCCAACCTGATACTTATTATTAAAAGTGATTTATGGCAAGAGCTGAATCCAAAAACATGTAGTGCAAACTGTGGGAGGTCTTGGGTTATGAAACTCTACAAAGAAGCTTCTTTCTTTCATTAACTTCTACTTCTGGTTGCTATGGCATCAATGACATCCATAAATTTGGGGAATTGCCCCTATCTGCTCCTGCCCTGTTCACAGCACATTCAAGCAACGACAGCCACAACAACCCAAACCAATAAATGACAATCCCATGATCCATCTCTTTTTGCTTCTTTGTTTAGTTATAGACATGTACTTACATAATATTATTAGACTCAATGGAATATATTCTTTAAATTGTAAGACTAGCATTTTCTTTCAGGAAACAGGCTTTCAGGAAATGCTTATATTTAACTTTAATGCTTAATTGGTAGAAAGGAAAGATGAGGGAATGATTTGAAACAAATTGTACTTAAGAACTTTTTAAAATTAATCCATCTTCTTTCCACAAGGCAGATGTAGGCTAATTAGAAGACAAATGAGCATTATTTCCTACTTTTGGAATGATACAATAATAAGTACAAAAATACAAACAACCTTCACGGAGCGAGCACAATTTCAATCTTGGAGGAGAAGTGAAACGTGAATGGAGGTTTCTTTTTGTAGGCGCGGCATGTGTGTTTGGACTTTATATATATCTTTGTTTTTAAGTGTTGTGTTTTGCTTATTTTAGAAACATGAAGTCCAAATATTTCAAAGATACTGATAACAAATCTTGGGAGGAAATTGTTTTAAAAAATCTAAAACTATGTGTTAAAAACAATAGCAATGCCAGCAAACAGTTGTTACAGTATTGATGTACAAGGTAGACTGTTGACTTTATCCATTTCAGGAAGGAAAAATAAATTAGTAAAAACTTGTCATCATATAAAAATAAATCCTTGGTATATGAAGTGTATATATTCATATTGAATCAAGTTTTCCCAATACATAAGTACTCTCTAATTTAAATTAAAATGCCGCATTCTTTGAGCTGTAGGATTTATTTAAGATCATAAATCCCCAGGTTGTTGCTTTTGATATACAAGTAATCCCCGGTGATGCCCATCTGACGTAAGTGCATTGTACCTACAATTGCTGAAGCCTATTATATTAAAAATTCAAGGTTCATACAAGGGTTCATAAGAACAAATAGTGCTACTTTGTGACTTGCATCAAAGCATTATGTTTACCATGCTGTATTACCATGTTGAAGATATTTTCATTTTATAAAAGTGCTTTTAAATGATTTTTTTATGCATAGAAAGGTACACTGTATAAGCTGTACTAAGCCAAATATTTGACTAACTGATATTACGTATGAACCCTACCTAAAGGGGGCCACTTGGGAAGGCAACAAGAGTTGCATTACGAGTTGGGCTCCTAAATGCAAGGTGAGCAGTTCAAAACCCCAGTCACTCCTTGGGAGAAAGACCGGGCTTTCTACTCCAGTAAAGAGCTATAGTCAAGGAAACTCAGAATCAGTTCTACCCTGTCCTGTAGGCAGTCCTCTATGGCAGTGAACTTGAAGCCTTTCGTAAATAACCCATTTGCCCAAGGATGGAGAAATGATTCAGTATTCCATAAAATCTAAAATTCTTTATCTGGAGGCGTTTTACATAAATAAGAGAAAGCATATTCAATTTACTGAGATAACATGATTCGTGTGTTGCCCTCAAATGTCTGAGAACCTCAAATCTTTGGAACAACAAGCAAACATTGAGAATAAGCGAAATGGGTAAGAGTGGCTCTCAGACCCTACCCAAAGACCTTTACTGAAATCTATAGTCCACTGGACCGTCTAAGCATCCCTTGCCAAGATAGCCAGCTCTCTTGATGGGACTCCATTTCCTCACCCTTCTTTAGAATAGGGCTCCTTAAGGTATTTTTAAAATATTCATGATTAATAAGCTTGAAGAATTCTGGTTCCCCGGTTGATAGAACATTAAAAAGAACACATAATATGCCTTAAAAAGGAATAATACAAAATTGAAATATATACAGTAAACTTGTTTCATACATGATTGTCCATTATGTGAGATAAGTGGAGATTATCTTCAGTGTCTCTGTTCAGTAAGTCATGGCATAGGTATACTATATTTACAAACATGTTTCATCGAAGATATCATAATATTTTAATTTTTAACATCATTTATCCTAAAGTTATATGATTATATTAATGATTGTGATGTTGCTTTTATTTCAAATTTGCTATGCATGAAGTATTTACTGTGTACATCTAAAAAAAATCAAGGGCTGGCAGACAATTCGGCAGCAGACCTTCCCTGGTTTAATATGTAGACACAGTTCTGGCATAGGAGTAGCTGATGAATAACATGTGGAACCAAGGCAAATTTACCAAACACAGTGACTGATAAATGACTATGTTTCCGAATCTCCAACACATAATTCCAGTTGAACTTTCTTCTCGCACACTTGTCTTTTAACCATAAAACTTAAGCAAAATATACGATTATGCTTCTATCTAGTATGTAGTATACGTAGCTAAATAAAAAAGTAAAGATTTTGAAAATGTTACCTTGTGGGGGGGCCAATCCTTAAAATTGGGATTAAAACCTCAGGAAGTAAGATTCATTTCCTTGAAACATATAAATAAGTAAAATATTGAAATGGATCTACAGTCGGCTGCTTTACAGACTTGACTTCATTTTTCCCTGTTTCCATTTACACCTGTAAATTTAGCATGAATGACAAATATCCACGGGAATTCGAATTATTTACTATTAAGAACCTTTGGTGCTGCTCTGGAATAAAATAATTAAATATATAACTTGAGCACACAGGTTCAACTCAGCTTAACTTAATGTTTAATATACGGGCCACAAGGATGGGGAAACTCTTCAGCCGTTGCCAAAGAAATAAAAGTGCGTTAGAAACAGCCCTTGCCTTCAAGGAATATGTAACCAAATATGAACTGTGAAATCGGGTGATCCATGATTATATTAGCACATAGGGAAAATAAATGTTTTAATAGAAAAGAAAACATTGACACATTAAAAAATGAATTTATAAATCACAAGAGATTTCAAGTCCACTTCAATTTTACTTTTGCTCCTTTTGTAGCCACTCAGACCAATACTTACCTCTGCAGGATAAGGAATCTGGTTGGTTTTAAGGGCAGTGAGTTTTCATTTGAATTTTTTTTTAATATTATCTACTGATTTATTTTGGATTTTAAAGAACCATATTCTATGTACCTTCACAATCCATCTCAACAAATGAAATCAGTATGAATATTCTGTTAAAGCCCCCATAAAAGTGGCTCTCTCTTTCCTGGCTCCCCTACATCCTCCCTCTCTCTATAATGAAAACATTGATACTTGATTTCTCACATGAACAGATATTGTCTTTCCTGACTCCATTACGTGGCATGAGGATCATGTGTTGATATGTCTCTCTCCTGAGCAAACATGAATGCAAAAACTGTATATACGATATTTTATACGTGTGTCTGTGCCCCATTTCCACTATGTTACTTTGGGCGTGGGTCTGGCCATTCCCCAGAACAAATGGGACCTTTGCAAGAAAGTGCCTAAGTCCATACAATAATAAGCACATTCAAGTAGTGGGAAATTAATTATTTTTACAGGTAGTCCATTATTAAAATTGTTCATGCTTTATAGCTTACCTGATCAGGATAGTTCATTTACATAAACATTTTTTTAATATTCCAGGAAGGAATAAAAATATCTCTTAAGTGTGTCCCCCTCAGAAATTTATTCAGAGGAAAATTGAGAATACATGTCCAAGAGAGGTCTCTTCTCCAATTTGACACAGTTAACATCTATGGGTTGGATGCATTTCTAGCTCTTTCTGGCATATTGTGCATGAAGAGGAGTCTTTGAGTGGGGCGATTAGTTAAGTGCTTAGTTACCAACTGAAAAGCTAACAGTTCTAATCCACCCACAGGAGTCAAGAAGAATTGACCAGTGATCTACTTCCTAAAAACCACAGTCATTGAAAACATCTATGGCACACAGTTCTAATAAGACACACACGGGATCAGAATTGAGTAGAGGGGATTGTTTGGTCTTGTTAGTGAAGTGTGAGATGCATTTAAAACCAAAAGACCTGGTTTTGTACAAATCACTGACAGATACCACCTAAATGACCTTGATAAAGTCTCCTCCTCTCTGAGCATCCATTGCTTGAAAGCAGAACGAGAATCATGGTGGCAACAACATAAGTTGTGACATACATTGTTGTCACTGACGTTATCTTAATGTGCACAAAATGTAATTGATGCATGGAACGTAAGTGTATAGAAAAGCTATGACATTGGCTAATTTTTAATATTTTCCATTTAAATAAATTACACTCTTACCTGTTGGAGGGATTATTCCAGGAGACATGAGGCCAGGGACAGAATGTGGCATGATATGAGAGTTCTCAGGGGAGGTGACACTTTGAGTCCTCTTAGGAGGCCTTCCAGGTCTAGAACTGAAACAAACAAACAAAAAAATTTTTACAATTAAGCTGTTGTCTTACACATCATTTCAAAGTTGTTTCAAGTGGTAACATGGACTGTAAATAAATTTGTTTCAAGGACGGTTGCTTTTGCAGTTAGATGTAATAGACTTCCATCACTAATTAGATTACATGCTGAATTCATTTTCCTCATTGAAGAGCAGCCACTCCTGATGCATAATTCATAGCCTGCACCTCGTTACCTGCTTCTTCATATTAATATCTATACACAGTTTGAATTGCCTCGTTTGCATATGCTAAAGTTCTGCATGCAGCCTTCAGCACAAAAATTATGCACTAACTTGTAATAATTATTACAGTCAGCCTGCTATTGATTTATGAGACTTTTAAAAACCAAATATGTGTAGTACTTGTAATGAATGATATTTTAAGGTTCTTCAGGAAATTAAAAGGCAATGGCTGCCTAAGGAAATGTTCTGCTTGTTTGATTTAATACTACAGTTAGCTGGGAGGTGGAATGAAAGAGTGATTCAGACCTATAGCACATTTTTCGATGATATGTTTTATTACTTCGCACTGCTAGCCCGATATCTAGATGATAAATGACAATACATACCTAATGTGTGAAAAGGTCTTGCAATTTCTTTATTTTTTGTCATTTAAAAGATAAGTCAAGTTATCGTTTAACCCTTATTCTATTTAAGTGAACAGTCTCACTAGGTTTCCCTACTTTTAATATACTAAAATAAATTGGAACGGTTTAGGACTATTTGTGGGATAGCATTGAGAAACTGGCAGTATACGAGCTTAAATATGCCGTCAGAATAAATAAAAATACCTAGGGCTTTAGTGGAACTTGTCCTTTACATGTCTATTGTGTAAGATTAATTTTTTGAATATGAAAGCAGAAGGTGGAGGGAAGACCAGTATTCACTACCCTTGCATGAGAATGAAAATGAGAACTTCCTGTGAGCCAGGGTCTAAATCAACAATCTAAATCCTGTATTACCCTTTTCAATTCTGCCTCTGTATCGCGAATGTGTCTTTCTGAAATGCTTTCGCGGGGCTGGCTTATAAAAGGCAAGTGGTGGAGCGCTGAATGCTAGTGGCTCAAACCTACTCAGAGGAGCCTCAGAAGATAAATTCCTGGTGATCTGTTTCCTAAAGGTCACAACCTTGAAACCCCTATTGAAAAGCTTTACTTTGCATATCTAGGACCCCTATGAGTCTGGAATTAATTGGGTGGCAACTCACAACTACACTACTAGGGAACACTAGAAGAGAATTCCCAATGATGAGTTAGACAGGAGGAAGAAAATATTTGGAAGAAAATGCAAGCCAGTGAGAACAGCTTAGCAGGTGAGCATACCTGGAGGCCCGTACGGCCTGAAAGGAGTTAGAAGCAGGCCCAACACAGACCTTAGTCCATATTGCCGGAAGCAGATCCTAGAGCAGTGGTTCTCAACCTTCCTCATGCCGCGACCCTTTGATACAGTTCCTCATGTGGTGGTGACCCCCCAACCATAAAATTGTTTTCGTTGTTACTTCATCACTGTAATTTTGCTAATGAATCATCATGTAAATAGCTGATAGGCAGGATATTTTCATTGTTACAAATTGAACATTAAAGCATAGTGATTAATCACAAAAACAATATGTAATTATATATTATGAAATATTTATTCCTAATGACAAGTAAATGAAATTTTGTCTTGAAGCATGGTGCAGCATGGGTAACAGGCTTCACACCAGGTACTCGTCTGTGGGCATATCTGCACGTGGGCGAGCCCGCCTGGAGACGGATAGAGGAGCGGTGTCTCGGTTCCTAAGACCATTGGAAATGTGTGTTTTCTCATGGTCTTAGGCGACCCCTGTGAAGGGTCGTTCAACCCCCAAAGGGGTCACGGCCCACAGGTTGAGAACCGCTGTCCTAGAGGATTTTTGGATGCGGAGAGGAGAGTGAGCTTTGTTTGGTTTTGTGCATGTTTTACTTTGTGCAAGCCATCAGGGACATTATTTTCTACTGCGCCTTGTTCTGAAGTCTCCCTCTGTCTATTTCTAAGTCTTCCAGATTACATCCACCTTCTGTTTGTATTTTTAATGTCTCTTGTTTGACTGGCATATATTAATAGCCCTCTTGTGGTCCCAATTCTCTTTGATTGATTTCCAATATTATTACATTTTAGGTGCTACAAATGGACAACTCATTACACTTGAAAGTCCAGATCTTCTTCAGGAGATTCAGAAAGATCTACGTCTACTAGATTCCTGTCTGCTAGAAACACGAGCACAGCAACAATGGGCTCACACCTCACAGCAATTGTGACAGTGGCACAGGACTGGGCAGGATTTGCTCTGTCACCCGGGAAGTCCTTAGGCCTCAACGCGGACTCTGTGACACCTAACAACTACCAGCAATCTTGTTTCATAATAATTAATCTAGAATTTAGTTTGTCCAAACCTGACCTCAGCATCTCCCTCTTCACAACCTGTTCCTATGCCCTGGTTCACAGAAATGGCATATTGTCCAGAAATCCAGCTCTCCTCTTCTTTTCTTCCTCTTGTACACTCAAATATCATCCCTAAGAAGCCGTGGTTCTGATTCATTCTCCCCACTCAGGACGTCTGGATTCAGCCCTCATTTCTTTCTTGATGCACCGTACCAGCTTTTCAATTCTTTTGCATCCTACCTCTAACTGTATTCCACTTCAAAATCGAGATGACTCTCCACACCATAGTATGTCCTACTCCAGAGTTTAGTGTGTAGATAATCTCCACATTGACTCCAGAAGGATTTTTCCCCCTAAAACATACATCTGCCCATGTTTGTCATTTGCTTTAAGACAGTAAAAGGACTTCAATATAGAACCCCTGCCTACTTTTCTAGTCTCATCATTTTATTCTTAAATTCATGGCCCACATTTGACCCTAATAAATGTCTTAACAGTTTCCTGAGCTGCCTTGATCTCACATTACTTTATAGACACTGCCTCCTTAGCTATCCAAGCCTTTTTCTATGCCACCCATGCTCATTCTGATTTCACCTGCCTTAATTATTCTTCCAAATTCTCTGACTGGTAATCTTTGTATGCACTATGATAGCCCACAGTGGACAACTGGATCATAGCTCTTCCTGCACTTGAGTTAAATAATCTACTATTTTCTTTCACTCCAAAGATTGGGTGGCAGAATTAGATCAAGTCTGTGTTTGTGTCCTTAAAACATAGTTTAGGGGAGTGGCTTACTGTGTGCATATAACTAAATTTCAAATCAATCTCTCAAGTCATTTCCACACACACACACACAAAGTTTCAAGAGCCTTTCCCATCCACACACATTCCAAAACATGAAGAGCGCAGCCACTCAAAAAGTCTGGACCGCCAAGTCGAAAAGCAACGCTAAATACACATTTGCAGCCCAGAGCAAGAGAATATCGGTATTGGAAGAGCTCAACTAAGACACAGAGAGAATAGGAAATGAAAATTTACCACTTGTATTTGTTCAGCTTTGAGAGAATAAAACTGTTTAATAGCCACAGGAACTGTCCTCCCTCCTACATTCAGGACATAGGATCTATGCTACTAAATAGGGACCTTTTACTTCAAGCTGTGTGTGATTAGTCTAGACCCAGCAGACTCCCTTTTACTACAAACATCTCCTGCCCATCTACCTTATCATCTCAAATTCCAACAATAGAGATTTATTGCTTTTAGTCCTGAAGCTTTAAGATCTTTTAGAGGCTTCAATTAATATGCAAATACTCTTGGCAGTAGTAACACCCTAAAGCCATCAACTAACACCATTCCTGGAGATGGCTTAACAATTAGGGGAGCTCACAGTTTTGGGATTATCTGTTCAAAGAATGGAGGAAAGATTTGGAAGGGCAAGTCAAATCACTTAAACTTCTGTCTAGGAATAAAGACTGCCACTACTCCTCACTTCTGGAAATGATTAAAAGCCAAAGAAAGGTCAGCTCTTCAAGTGAAAATCTGCATTTGTGGAAGTGGAGGTTGGCCACATCAGATCACCAAATAGAGACCGACTGCATCATTATAAGACTGTCAAATATATCATTACGTAACTGGCAACCCCCTGAGAACCACAGCTCAGTCCTGCTGACACGTAACCCAAAGCATCACCAAACCTACACTCTTCCAGTCAAATGTGACTCATGGAAATGCCATATCTGGTTTCCTAGGCTATAATTCTTTACAGAGGAAAGCTTCATCTTTCTAACCGGAACGGTGAGCAGGTTTGAACTACTACCCTTGCAGTGAACAGCCCAAGGAGTAGCTCAGTACACTCCCAGGACGCCCTTTCACAGTCCCAGCCAGGGTTATCCTCACCTCGCACCTTGTTTACCAGATGCTCTTTGCTAAGGGGCAACTTACCAGGATAGGTGATTTTTTTTTTAAACTATGGTCATAAATGCAAAATGTTGGATAACAAGACAAACCCAAACCAAACTCACCTCCACAGTGACCCCCTGTGGGTTTCTGAGGCCCTAGCTGAGAAAGGAGTAGAAACCCCAGTGTTTCTTACGTGGTGCTGCTGGTGGTTTGGAACTGCAGACAATGCAGCTCGAAGTGCAACTCTTAACCACAGCGCCACCAAGCTAGTAAAAGAGAGCTAGGAGTACTGGGCACTTCCCTTTGGAGTAACTCTTAATTTGTTGGAAGGTTTTTATTTGTTAGCAAGACCTCCCATCTATCCCTTCACTTAAGTCCCCTTATGGTCAAGTTCCTTACCACACTCTTGATCAAGAACTCATAGAGGGGTTGAAGATTCCAGGGAAGACAACTTAATTGCAAAATAGTTGAATATTTAAATTTCTTCCAACAGAGATTTTAGGATCTTCCCAGAGAACACAGGTCCTGTTGTCTCTAGCTCTAGCTCTATCAATTTCCTAGAAGTGAACCTCAATGGGAGTCTCTGGGTAACACAATCGGTTAAGTGTTTGAAAGAGGTTGCCAGTTCAAACCCACCACCCACATGCTCCTTCATAGACTGTCCTGAAAGACTCCTTCTGAAAGGTCACATCTCATTCACTGGCAACTGGGTTTGTTTGTTGTTTGGGGGGTGACCTTCGTCAAGTATCCTAAATCTCTGAATATCTTACTCCATCAGGATTGTAAAAGTAGAAATCTTAGAAAGCAAGTGTTTATAAGAAAAGCAGTTTCTCTTATAACGATCCACTGCCTCAATAGCTGGCATCTTTGTGCACTCTCTATCTGCCACAGTGACCCAGGCCTATCCTAATTCTAATCAGAGCAGAAGACTACATTTAAATAAGTTATTGCCTTTACCAGCATAAATGAAATCACAATTTACGACTTTGGTAATTGTTTTTGCCAGCTTTACACATTAATGAGAAAACAGCCTTCCGTATTTTCAATCATCTGCCCTAAAAGAGCAGTGCAATCCATGCTTCATGCCAGCATTTAAGAACTCACCCAGACACACCATTTTTACAGCAGGAAATACAAGTCGTGTTTTCCACTCATATCACTGGATTGTCTTTCTTCTCTAGTTAACATCACACAAAAAAGGAAGCTTCAGGCTATTTTCTCTCAACTGTAGTTTGCTTACAACTTTTCACGTTTGTTCTGTTTAGTCAAGGAAAGTAAAAATCCAACTTCGAAAGAGGAAAGCACAAGTGATATAATTTGATAAGAAGTGAAATTCATCAAATGTCGAAATGAAATAGTCACAGACTTCTTTTAAATCCCTAATCTTCTCTACTAAATAAAAAATACAGAACAATTGATGCATTTGAATGATGGTGCTGGCAAAGAATATTGAAAGTACCATGGACTGCCAAAAACCACACAAATCTCTCTTGAAAGAAAGAAGTACAGCCGGAATACTTCCGAGAGTCAAGGATGGCGAGACGCTGGACGAGTCAGGAAAGACCAGTCGGGGAGTAGCACAGCATCCTTAGTGAAAGAGAGGGGCGGTGAAAAAGAGGAAGGCTCTGACAAGCAGATAATCATCTAAGCTGAAAACTGTTCGCCTAGGAGTAGAAGAATTATGAGTTGGTAATTACTGGACATATAAGGTGAACATTTATAAACTGCAACCACCGCTTACCAAACAAACAAAAAGTAAGTGGAAACTAGCTACTCTGATGAGCAGAAAGTTGTTGCCTCTGACTTGATTTAGCACAGGAAATTGACAATATAAAACTCGTTTCAATGGAACTGACAAAATGTCTGAATCTCCACTTCACTTGGAGCTGCTAAATACGGAAGAAAGAATTACCCCAAACAAGACTTAAAAGACTTCAGCATTTCTAAATTAAGTGTTAACAACTAATTGCAACCTAAAATATTACGAGTCCCACTTAGATAGTCTATACACTTTTGTCACAAATCTCACGGGAAGCATGGATGAACTCCCCTCAGTCCGCGAAGGACAGGCTGAAAACACTCATAAAAGCCCATTAAATATATCAGTCATTTTAATCTTGAATGTGAATCACTTAGAATCATTTAACTTAGTATCTTTTTAAAGATGAATCTTTGCCAAATCAATGGTCTCCATGTATTCTTTTGTTAATCTGAATTCTCTACGCAGATGGTGATTCTTTATTAAGTATATTAAGTGATTTAACGGTACATATCTATTATGTTCTGTGACTATTCTGAGACGAAAGAAAAACGCAGTGCAATTTAAAGTGTCAATTAATACACACATATACATTTAATCCTGTATATCTTTCTGTAAACTTAGCACAATATACTTCCACATCTGTGGTATTTTTTTTCAAGAGCAGATACGACTTGCCAGTTTCACTAGTGCTACAGTTGCCTAGAGACCTAAGTGATTTTAACCTTTTGTCACCTTACAATTTTGTCTCCTCTGAAATCCTACAGGCCACAGATGATTTTGCCCAAAACACATCTAAATTATCTGAAACGATTTACTAGAATCATCCAAGGGGACAATCCTGAAGTCCAGGTAAATGTTTGTAAATGGCTTTCTTTAAGTTTTGGGAGAGTTAAGACTGCTTGTTATATAATCTGACTCATACTCATACCACATCTCTAGCTACCAAACCTCATTGCCAGTGAGACCATTCCAACTCTTAGAACACGGTTTCCCGCGTTGTCAATCTTTATGGGATCATTGATTCCATATGTTGATCTTGCGATTAGCCAGCACAGCTGATGGGTAACGGAGACTCAGATCAGTCCAGTGACTTATCTAGCATTTCTCAGACACAAAACCATAGAGCCAGAGTTTGAGCAGCATGCAAGCTATTAGTTTCGCATAAGCCTTGTTTATACTTTAGCATTCATCCGCCTGGCCATACAAAAGGAATTGAAAATATAAATAAGGTGTCGTCTGTGCCTTCAAGGAGCTAACGATATATTTTGGGAAAGAGATGGGTATCTGGAGAGAATTGCAAGAAGATGGTTTAAGACTACGGCCAATGTTCCCAAGAAGTGTTATAAGAACAATTTTTTGAGAGTCCCTCAAGATGCGTGTGCCAGCCAAAGTTAGTCAAAAGCAAAGAAGGAGGAGGAGGTGCTGAGAAAGGAAACGCCATCAAAATACATATATGCACCCCCACAATGACATTCTGAATTGCTCAAACCATGTCC